ATATATATATATATATATATATATATATATATATATATATATATATAGATAGATAGATAGATAGATAGATAGATAGATAGATAGATAGATAGATAGATAGATAGATATTATTTCAAGTATACGCAGGAGTTGACAGTAGTGCATTTTATTGAAATTTTATTTGTTAATGTATTTCTTATTTTACAGTTTCAGTCGGCAGGACTTTTGTTTTTCTTTAGCCACGTGATCTTTTTCCCACTCTTATTTCGAAGGAGCTAAACCATATCCAAAGCGGAAATAGCACTTTTATTATGACAGAAGTATCCGGATATATGTCTACCAAGTCTCAGGATTCTACCTAAACAGAGTATCGCTTTGTCAAATGTAAAGACTGATTTGTGTTTGTTTGGTGAGAACAAGGAGTTTGGGACAGAAACTTGTTACTGAACGGTCAGAATCAGCTCCGCCGTCATGAGCGTTTCTTTGGATATAAGACTGAAGAGAGCAAACAAAGTGTACCGAGAAGGGGTAAGTTGTTAGCAGCAGTCACTAGCATCCTGCTAATGGGGCCTTTTCAGAAAATATAAACTTTTACTTTCTTTATCTTTAGCCCAACTGCCAGAAAAACAGTCAACGAGTCTCCGTTGTGGTTACAACCCAACCAGTTAGCTTGTTGCTAAGCTGCGGTGACTCGCTCACGTGACCTGCAGCTGGTCTGTGGGGTGTTGTAACTAATTCTGTCACCCGTCAGATTCTGGTTCCTGCTGTGAAGAGATTGCCCCTTTTACTTCCTTTTATTAAACTTTTTTTTTTTTTTTTTGTCATGTCATGATTCCCGTTACAAGAGACAGCAACAAAAACGTGTTCCACTAAGTTATAAGGTCATAAAACAATTTAAGTAAGTTGTTTTACGACCTTTTATTTTGATATGCAAGTGGTGTGGAAAACAGATTCGTCTCACAGTGATTGCATGGTCATCAGAGCTCGTTCTGCAGTACAGTTGTTAGAATTAAAAAAAAAAGTTATTCATTAAAAGGTAAAATAGACCCTGAGGCGTGACTCAGTTACAATAAAATTAGTTTAGATTTAGTACAATTGTGTCCTTCTGACACATTAGTTGTCAAACTGCAGGGTTTAACCCTTTTGGGGAGAGCGCGCAGAACCAATCATATTTACATATATTTTTAGTTTATTTCTGGTCTAAAAATGATGCAAGTGGAACAATTTATGTTTCCACTCGGACTTATTTTTGTGACGGACCGAATCGGATGGACTAAAGTGAATGCACACCATAAACACTTCAGCTATTGGAAAAAACAATAATAAAAACACTAATAACAATCTAGAGACAGAATACTACCATAAGTCTTTTTTTTAACAGTAACTAGGTGATATTTTTTAAATACCATGTAAATCTAGTTTTATATATATATCTATTATTTTCTTTTCATTACAATAAAGTTGATTCACTGTTTTTAGTATTGTTGAGCAGAAAGGAGGCCTGAACATTTTTCTTTCTCTGCTCGAACCAAAATAAAAAATCCATCCATCCATTATCGACGAGTAGTAGTAGTTTATTGTCGAGCTTGAATGAATGAATGAATGAATGAATGAATCTTTGTTCCTAAGTCAGGTCGTTTCTGAGACGTGACAAAATGTGGGACTACACTGTTTGAAAAAACAAAAACAAAAAAAACGACGACTATACAAAAAAATGTGAATCACGCTGATAATTTTTTTTAGGTACCAGTTTAAATAAAACATTGAAATGTGTCAGTCAAGATAATTTTATTACAACTGTTATCAGATGGTTTTATTTTTTCTGTAACGTTTTTCTGGAAAGTGTTGCTCCACCATATGTGGAACTGGCTGTGAACAATGTGTTTACTGATGTTTTTGTGGAACTAAAGCTGAGATTTTGAACACAAGCTGACCACTTTGGTTGTTGCTGACTGAGAAAGAAAATGTTCCTTGAATATTTTCCCACTTCAGATCTTTAAATGCTCATTTTCAGACTCCAAAGCAGCTGAATCACGTCTTTTTTTCCCCCCTCGTTGTTTGCAGGAAACCGTGTCCGGTGTGATCGTGCTGTCATGTAAAGAGGCGATGCAGCATCACGGCATTTCCCTGAGCTTGGAGGGCATCGTAAACCTCCAGCTGAGCTCCAAGAGCGTCGGCGTCTTTGAGGCCTTTTACAACTCTGTCAAGGTGATGCTGAATAAACTAATGTCTGTCTCCGAATTCATGTTGTCATCTTCAGATCAAACCTGAAAGGAACTAAACGTAAAAACTTGAAAGTTAAAAATAAATATCAAATATTTGTGCTATTTGCCAAATTATTAGCTGAAATTCAAGTTCTTCGGATTATTTGAATTTATTTAATAATCAACAATGAAGCAGATCGGTAGAAAAAGTAACTAAAAATAGTTTAGAAAATCGGGAATAATTATAGAAAGTGCTCAAACTACTTGAACCTGGAGCTTTTAAACCCACTTTTCTGTTTTCAGTCACAACCTGAACATAATAATCTGCACACATTTCTTCTGATCAAACAAAATTATGTTTAGTTTATAATGTATCCAAACATGTTTATTTAACCAAATTAAAAGATGTTAAAAGTATTTCCTTAATAACAGGTTAAATTAATATTTGTGTCCTTTTATCAGAATCCATCTCTGCCTGAGACAAGTCACTAATATACATTTATAATATTAGTTTATATATATATATATATATATATATATATATATATATATATATATATATATATATATACATATCTCACACCTGAAATGATCAAAGATGATAAATTGTCTCATGACTCCCTCTTGTGGTCGTCAGAGGAAACGCGTCCGCTTCGTCTGCTGCTTCGCTCTTCAGTCACAGATTGTTGCATCCAGGTGTTTCAAACATCTGTCTGGCTTCTGAGCTCCTGAAGTGAGAAGGCTGATGTGACAGTTATCATCTGCTGAAGCAGTTTAAAAATTTAAGCTTCAGTTTTCATTTAAAAAAAAAAGGATGATTTGGTAAAAAGGAGCATTTCCAGTTTCACCAGACAAACCAGAGCTGACTCTGTTTCACGCTCAGTTTTTAATGAATACTCTTTAGTGTCCAGAACAAGTTCTTCTGTCAGATTTGGATCAGTCTCGGCTCCTTCAGGTTCACAGCTTGACGTTTGAGTTAACTGCGCGTCGTCGGTGACGTTAATGAGATTCTACGATGTGTTGCAGCCCATCCCGCTCGTCAGCAGCAACATCGAAGTGGCCAAGGCTGGAAAAATCCCCGGAGGAAAGACTGAGATCCCGTTTGAGTTTCCTCTGCAATCAAAAGGCAACAAAGTGCTTTACGAGACGTACCACGGAGTCTTCGTCAACATCCAGGTAAACGGTTCATATCCTGAGCCTTTAGGAGCAGGTTGGGATGAAAACGTGTCCAAATCAGTGGAGTCTGTGGAACCAGTACATCAGAGAGCGTCCACCAAATCTGGTTCTTTTCCTGCAACTTGTACCATTTAATAAACAAGTTCCCACATTTCAAAGCTCAGTGTATTTCAGAAATATGAAAAATCAGTCCACAAATAACCTTTTTCTCAAAAAGAAACATTTTATGTTTGACTTTTATTAATAAGTTTCAACATGAAAGTGGAGAAATTATAAAAAAAAAAAAAAACAGCTCATCGTTCTAAATTTAGCTTCTATTTGTAAAGATTTGAAATTTCCGCTATCGTCGTCGAGTCCAAGCTGTTCAGAGCGACTCACATCCCAGACGGCATCAAACGATGTCTCAGTGTTCACGTTTGTTTTCATTGTGATCCAAAAACTCGTCCAGTCTCACCGAACGACTGATCACAGAAATGTTGCTTCCTTTCGTGAAGCCTGATGGAACAGCCAGTTTAACACGACTTATTGCTTTGAATCTTTATTTATTCCTCATTTTCTGCAAAGATGATTTTAAACAGTGTTGATCTAAAAACACACATTTCAAGACACAATTCTAAACTTATTAATCTGCTGCTTTCATCATTAGACTCTAAATTTAT